ACAGGCTTTTTTTATGAAAAAAAAACAGAGAGAATACTTCTTTAGCTATGAAGCAGGAATCAAAAAAGTTGTTTCAAAATGTATCAAACGTATTGTCCCCAGATATATTCTTCAATGTTTGCAAATTTTCCACTAGATGGTAGCGCAATATACATGAACATCTATTTTGCCAACATAGAAGTCATGGCATTTTATTAGGGATTATTTATAATTATATACCTTATTGTTTTGATAATTTATGAGCATGTCTTATCATTATGAAATGCATTTATACTTGGAAGTGATTAGAGTTCTTTATGTGATCACCGGATAATACAACAGACATATAAGTCTGATTCGAGCTAAATCACAATAAAATGGTTTTCTAGAAAAGCTGAAAGAAATTTAGCGAATAATTTTCGTCTAAAAGCCCCTTCAGCGAAAGTTTCTTTCATAGAATATTTATCATGGAATCTTAAAAGGCTTCCACTCCCTCAATTAATACGAAAAAGAGACAGCATCAATGCTCCCTAGACTCTGAAAGAATATAAGCCCTTTGCTTTTTCTTTCTTCTTGAAAACTACCGAAGCTTAACCTTCTCACTAGCAAATCTTTTAATTCTACCATTTCAAACTAGAATCTTGAATCCAGAAAGTGGAACTCTTTATAGACTTTTTTTAGGAAAAAAAAGACATACTTCTTCAGCTATGAAGCAGGAATCTAAGAAAGTTGTTCCAAAATGTATCAAATGCATTGTTTCCAGATTGATTCTTTAATGTTTGCAAATTGTCCACTAGATGGTAGCGCAATATACATGAACATCTATTTTGCCTACATAGAAGTCATGGCATTTTATAAGTATTATTTATAATTATATACCTAGGTAGGGATAACCTGGTCGGTAGGGCACTGGGCCCATGTCCGAGAGTTTGTGGGCTCAAGCCCAGCCGGCCGAAGACTCCCTGTGTAGTAAATGGTGACTGATGCACGTTAGATCTGTCGAGTAGCAAAGTCCTCCATGTTCCCATAACAAGGCAATACCTCTGGGGGTACTGGATTGGAGATCGATCGTTCTCTGATCCAGGTCAAAAATTACGATCTGTGAGTGAATGAATGAATGTATGAATGGGTTCGCCCTATAAACGGGTGTGACGTGTGTGAGGCTGAAGACGAATTCTTGTCCGTAGATGGCACCACTGAAAAATAAGAAACGCACCCTCTGCCTTAAATTTGCACAGTTTCACCAAGCAGTCTGGCTAGTGTGGCAAGTGGCATTAGAAACAACAACAGCATGATTATATACCTTATTGTTTTAATAATTTATGAGTATGTCTTATCATTATGAAATGCAATTATACTTGGGAGTGATAAGAGTACCTTATGTGATCACCGGATACTACAACAGATATATAAGTCTGATTCTGACAAAATCACAATAAAATGGTTTTCCAGAAAAGCTGAAGGAAATTTAGCGAATAATATCTGGCTAAAAGCCTCTTAAGCGGAAGTCTCTTTCATAGAATATTTATCAGGGAATCTTAAAAGGCTTCCACTCCCTCAATTAATACCAAAAGGAGACAATAACAATGCTCCCTAGACACAGAAAGAAAATAAGCCCCTTGCTTTTTTTTTCTTCTTGAAAATCACCGAAGCTTAACCTTCTCACAAGCAACTCTATTCATTCTGCCACTTCATACCAGAACCTTGAATCCAGAAAGTGGAACTCATTACAGACTTTTTTTTTATGAAAAAAGGAAAAGAGAATGCTTCTTAAGCTATGAAGAAGCAATCAAAAAAGTTGTTCCAAAATGTATCAAAACAAACCAAGTTTTTTTTTCCTGTGCATCTTTAGGAAACGGTCAAGAATCCTATTAAAGCTAATGCAGTGTAAGGGAAAATTACTTCATAAAAAATCCATTCATTTAATGGGTTTCTGGAGATTTGAGGCAACGATTAAAAACTTTTATGTCCACTATTAGTGAATGTGCATTCTTCATTACTTTGCTGAATTTAATAAGAAATATCTTAATTCTCATGCAACGAACTTTTATTGTTGTGTTTTTTAATTTAGAAAAATGTGCAGTCTTAAAGTATTAATAGTGTTTTTTTGTGTCCTGTTTTTAGGTGATCCTCTTAGAAGAATTTTCTTCTTTTGTTAGAAATTTTGAGATATAATAGGATCATAGAATTAGTTCAGGCAAAATGAGTTTTATACTTATAATGTAGTTGTTGCGCGCCCTCTATGATAAGTTTCGTCAACTATGATTAATTTGTACTTTTGGAATGACAACGAGCTTTGAGTGGCAACGTTGAGTATAATTTTACGAATCGGAAGCACCTTTAATCAGAGATAATTTTCGGACAGTTTAGCTGAAATTCAGACTTCCGGTTACCATGATATTCTTCGCTGCAATTTCAATGATGTTACTCAACTTTTTACCGTTACGAGATTGGTTCTTAGCTTATTTTCATATTAGATCAGTTTATTTTCATATCGCAAAACATAAGAGGAGCTTCTGGTGGTAAATTATTACCAAAATAAGTAAATGTTGAAATTAAAAATTAGAGCATTCTAAAATACATATAATTTATGGTATTAATATAAGGCTTTAACTATGGTATAAATAAAATTCTAATGATTCATAAATCATTATTTTGTGTATTATTCTTTTATATAAAACACATATTTAGATTGTAAACAAACTTTTAATTCTTATAAAATCGTCATTTCTAAACATTAAAGAAAACAACAACAAAAAAAAATGAAAAAGAATAAATTTTAAAAGTAAGAACACAGGATTTTTCTTGGAGAAGTTTTCCATGTGTAATAGCCGGTGTGTGAGTATATAATACCTTAAATCCATTTAAATATAATCTCGAAACAATATAGATAGTAAACTAGATCTTGAAAAATTAAGAGGTAGGAAATTAGCTCAAAAATAGAATTTTTTATTATTTTCATTACTATTTTCATTTTTATTATTTTCATTCATTTTATTCTTTTTATAAATGTTACAAAGATTTTATCTTTCAAGCCTAGTCGGTTATAAGCGTTTTTATTTTAGCACTTTCGCAAACTCAACAACAAAGTTTGTGGTATTTTATACATTTTTAAAACAGTGAGCATGACCTAAATTTTTGCAATTTTACCCCCATTGAGGCCACAAGAAATGTTATGTTATTTTTCAACTCTTTTTGAACATTTTTTTTGAAACTGTTATCTCAAAAACATAAAAAATTATGGAAGAGAATTACTTTATATGGGAATTGCTTTTATGAAGGAGAATTGCTTTACACTCTGATGATAGTTAATTACTTTTTCAAATTTCTTGCTAAAATATTTCAGGCGCCTCCAATTTAATACTGTATACTTTAAAAAGATTTCTCTAAACCCATTAGTGAGTTACATGATGAACTGTAAACTGCTTTATATTTCCCTATAAAAATATGATTTTACAAAATTTTATTTTAAAAAAGCAAGAACTCTAGCTTAATAAATTTATTTTTAAAAATAATCAATTGATTATAATTTCTTGGAAATTATTTCAAAATAATTTTCGGAAAATATTTTCAGTTAGAAATATATTTTAAACGATTCGAAAAATATAATGATTTCCCTTTTATTCAGAAAACTTCAAGAGCTCAAAAAGCAAAAATATCGCAACCTTTTAAAAATCCATTTTCGCAATATTTATCAGTTTCTCTTTCCAAAAATATTAATATTTTCTCTTTTTTTTTCGATAACAGCTGAAACAAAACATCCCAAAAGAGTGGAATGAAAAGTTAAAGCTATTTAAAATTTTATGCTAGACACAATTTAGGCTTAATGGATTCGAAATAGGGCTCAAATGCGGATATACTAAATTTCCTTTCGTCTGGAAAGGTTGGAAATATACTCAGCGATGCTCGTTCTCGAAAAGCACTTACCAAATAAATTGCAATTATGGGCTTCAGGGCAAACCCAAAGGTATTTTCACTCCCTTTCCTAAACAGGTTAAAAATCTTGAACAACATAATTTTCTATCCTAGATACAGCGAGGTCACTAAATTATTGAAATAGAGCCTAGTGCTGTTAGAGAATCTCGTCCTGTAACGAGTTCTAGAGAAAAGATTAACATAATGAATTTATACTTCGGGTGGATAGCGTGTAGTGCATATTTCACATGGAATACATTGAAAGACATCTGAGTTTATTAAAGTCTTAACTTAAACGAGCAGTTCACGCAAAAGCTTTGGCATTGCAAGTGCGCATGCGTTACGGTAAACCTGCCGGCTATCGTTTTCCCCTCTTTCAACTCCCAATACTCTGGGAGAATCAGTTGGAAGATGTGAGATGGTAGTTGGGAAGCTCAAGATCAAGTTCTCGTCTTAAAACTCTACTTCGGATATTGTTTTTCGGTTTCTTTGAACACATTTTATCAGTATAAGAAATGGAGCGAAAATATAAATGTGATTTGATATAGAAATTATAATATTTCATAAATAATGATTATTATAAAATTATTTAACTTGTTTTAGGAGTGATTAATTTTAAAATATTGTTTTATTCTTCGTGGTGCGCATTGTTCAAATCGTATATAAGAATGCGAAAAATATTTTTTAAATTATAATCATTTTAAGGAAACAAACATTTCTGTTTTATAAATTTTTATACTTTATTTTTAAAAGTTTTACATTACAAGCGATGAATTTTGTTTGATGAAAAAAAAAATTCTTTAAATTCATTTTATTTATGTAACATAACCTTTGATATATGATTGCATTTTTTTAATTTTAAATTCAATATTATTTTAAATGTACCATACGTATGCAACTTACAAATTTAATATTACTAAATAACTTATAAATTTAATTTCAAATATTGCACGCACTATTTTCACCCTTTTTTTTAATAATTTTTTAGAATTGCACTTCCTTATTTTGAATTCAATATCATTTTAAATGTACCATACATAAGCAACTTTTATATATTTACTTATATTGCGCGCTTTGCACCATTATTTCCACGTCTTTGTAAAAATAAGATATAAAATCACAACTATAAATTTGCTAAATCATATTGAACTCATAAATTACAGAAAATTAATATGTCATTATGACTTATTTTAAAGGTGAACTCGCACTATTCCGTTATGTTTATGCACTTATTCCTAAACTTTCGTTTAGTATTTCCTCGAAATACTAATAAGCTTAAGCCTGAAATAAACTAAATAGCATCAATATATGTCGAAAATCAATGATATTACTATCAAAAGTGGACAACAATGAATGATTGATTATTTAAATATACGCTGGCGTACATTTTGAAATAATCTACGTAATGCAACAAACTAAAAAAAAAATTCATAGTACAGCAATGATGACATCTATTTGTTATCAGTGACATATTGATTATCTTGATGAAGGACACTTTGAAAAGCCTGCCCATGAGGTTAGTTCTCATATTCTTTTCCATCATATTTCGGACCTATTCCATCAATCAGATGGAGCTGGACACGCGACACTTGAGTACGCGTGTGGTACATACTAGGTATGGAACATTGAGAGGATTTATAAGTACCCTGTCCAATCGGCAGTTGCAACCGGTAGAGGTATTTCTAGGTGTTCCTTATGCTGGTGCACCTACAGGAGCTCTTCGGTTCATGCCACCTGTGACTTCCCCCCACTGGAAAGGTGTAAGGGTAGCGGACAGTTTTGGGTCAGTGTGTCCCCAAAAATGGCCAGACATCAAGAATGAGACTGACGCATTGAAAAGAATGCCTCAAGGGCGACTTCGGTACCTTCAGAGGATTTTACCACTGTTAACCAATCAAAGCGAAGATTGTTTATATCTTAATATCTACGCACCAGCTATAGGTAAGTTCATTTTCAAAGATATATCTAGTTAAATTTTTCATACTAATAATGTTCATATAATTTTATAATTTCGCACTATATGTATAATTTATTAATAATGAAAAATTTCCAATATCAAAACTAATTATTTTCTTTCCTGATTTGTTGCATGGTTGTTTATATAGGAACAGTTTCGTTTTAAACGTAATTCTGTAACTTTTGAGCTAAACAAGGGTAAACATATAATGATTTTTTATTTANTTCGCACTATATGTATAATTTATTAATAATGAAAAATTTCCAATATCAAAACTAATTATTTTCTTTCCTGATTTGTTGCATGGTTGTTTATATAGAAACAGTTTCGTTTTAAACGTAATTCTGTAACTTTTGAGCTAAACAAGGGTTAACATATAATGATTTTCTATTTATTTAATTTTTGTTAGCAATTAATATTATTTACTGTTCACAAAAGCAACCAGCTCTTAACTCAAATTCAATGTCAGCTACTGTAAGAATAGAACATTAACATATTAATATTTGATTTTTTTAATAATATATTTCAGCACTGTCTTGCTTATACTATTTTATGTTGTTTGCCATCATGAATCACGTATGCTTGAATAATATTATACTGCTTTATGAAAATTTAAATGCGGGGAAAACAATATTTCTGTTTGATAATGAATTCCTCAGAACATTATTCTAAAAACATAACATTTTGTTTAAATGTAAGCATTTATATGGAAATGTGTTCATTAAAATATTTCATTTTGGGAACAAGTGCAATATTTAGAAAATACGATTTTCTTTTGAATCGCTATGCATTACCAAAAAAATCGCGATGAAAACTTATTTATGTATTAACGTAACGAAAAAACATTTTTGCTAAAAAAACATTTTATTTCTATAAGTAAATGTTGCAAATTTTAACTATGAATTTTTTATTCAAATTTTCTAGTCTTTGCTTTCTTGTAAAAAAGTGAAGAACAGTATGTTCGTCACCAATATTACCAAAGCAATTTTTTTTCCAATTCTTAATTGCTTGAGAAATTTCAATAAATGGTTTCAACCAATCATAGCAGAAATGGAAATCTTCTGTGTTTCATAAAGGAAAGGAACTTTTTCCTAAAATATTTTACACACTTTTTATACTGTAAAATAATTTATAATTTTTTGCAAGCAAAGTCTTTAACTTCTCAGTAAATCAAAGATGTGAGTATAAATAATTATTTTCTAAGCTCACTGAAGAAAACGTAAAAAGAAATACGAAAAAACACCTACTTTAAGAGAAAACTGACAGTACACTGTAAGAGATTTTTATTCAAGTTATGACATAAATTATTGGTCCTTTGGGTGCAAAAATAGAAGTGACACCCGTGAAATTTATTTTACTTCAAAATCCTTTTTTACATTGAAATATTACATTATAATTTTCACAGTAAAATTTTTTAAGTAGAGTGATTCAATGATTTTACGGTATTTACTACAATACAAATTATGGTATATCAGGTTTCTAGTTTAGTTGCATGTTCCGGTAAAAAAAAGGATTTTATGGTAAGAAAATATAGGCACCCTGAGTATCCGTACTTCTTACAGTAATTTGATACAAATTCTTTTCACAGAGTGAGACAGCGAGATCTGGAACTCGTTATCAGCAGTTGCTGGATTAATAAATTTTTATTTACACTTTTAGAAATTTTTTTAATGAGGAATTATTCTGACTTTGTCGAAAAACTTTTACTTAATGTTTTTACTATTTACTTAAATTTATTTTCATGCATTAGTAATCTCTTATTGAAAAATAATAATTATTATAATTATTGCAATTATCATAACATTTCAATGTTAAAAAAGATTCAACCCAGTTAAGGACCATAATTTGCATGCATTACATTTATTGAGACACAAAAAAAGTTTCGTGCATGGGAAAAAAATATTTAATAAATGAAATATGGAATATACACTGTTAAAATTTTCATTTTTCATTCTGAAGTTATGGTGAAATAACTGAAAGCTGTCAGTCCATCCGATTAATCGTAAATTTTACGGTAAAGAACATTTTTTTTCCTTTATGACTTTTTAACCATTTACAACTAACATTTTTCAAAAACGAAAAAAAAAATTATTATTATTTAGCTTGACATAAGAGTTCGGCTTTTCGTAAGGTAATGGGCATTGGAGAGTGCCGGACACTGGAAATTCTTCATGTGTGGAAGGGAATGGAGGAAATATTGTGATGTCAACACTAGGACTCGAACTCAAGTTTTATCGGTCATGAGATTAACAGGTAAGGTCGCTCGGCTATGATATGCACGCCGTTGCAAAGAGCTAAATAGCTTCATTATGTGGTTCTAGTTGGTGTGATAAAATTCTGGTCGTTTAACTGTATTAGGTGAAAGCATTTAATAAACAGTTTTTCTCAAACTTAACAGTCAAATTACCGTTTTATTTATGGTTATTTGACTGTTTTGATTAAATATGGTAAAATAACCATTCAATAAATTGTTATTTAACCATTTTTCTGAGACATTTCTAACAGTGTAGCCACCATTGACCGAATCAGTGGACAAATTATTTAAATGAACACGATTTTTTATGACATTTGTTCCATTTTTATTTTATTTACAGAACTTGAACTTTTAATTCATTCCATCATAAAAACATATGATTAATCGGAAGTGGAAAAATTGCGCATATTTTAAAAGTCGAATTTGTCAATAACGTTGTAAGTAAAAATTTAGTGTAGTTAGAAAATTTCTAAACAACATGCGTTTACTCTAATTGAATTACTAATATTTTATAGATATCTTTAGAGCCTTTAAAAATCAAATAAAAATAAAATTAGTGGAAAAAATAAGTTACAATGTTAACGAAAAAAATTTGTTTAAATAGTACGTTTTCACCTGAAAATATGTGAATGAAAACATTTATTTACCACTTAATGAAAATACTTCTTTACCGCTTAATGAAAAACCCTCAATGAAAATACATCTTTACCACTTGAATGATGTCTTCTTCTTTTTGTCTTAAGTAATGAGAATGTCTTAATGAAGAAATTCTTTAACACTTAATTTATGAAGCAACTTCAAAATGAAGATACTTCTTTTCCATGAAAATGCGGCAAAACACTCGAAGAAAACGTTTCTTTAACACTTAAAAAATGAAAAATTAGAAATCTACTCTGCTTTTCTATTTAAAGAAAATTCTCTAAGATAAATAAACTTAACTCCCTGCTGAAGTGACAATGATTACTTTTGACAGTTATAACCCTTACTCGACTTGATTTCTTTTCTGACAAAACAATTTAAATTAAATTCTTGTCTAGCCAAATAAAAACTGGCATTTCTTTGCACTAGAAATAATTACTTAGAGTACTTGACAGTGAATAAATTAGCCACTCAAACCGATATGATGACTGTAACAACAGTTAAAAAAACTGGGTTAACTAATTAAACTGAGTTAAAAAATTGTTGTTAGCTGATGTGATGAAAAATGAATTTCATTTTCTATGATTGAGAACTGTGGTAACGTATTAACACTACAATTAATAAATTTTCACTAAAAAAGTAATTTTTAGATATTGTTGTTATGGTGTAAAAAGTAAATTAAATAGTGGACTTTTTAAAGGAAAGAGATAATACGTTTATCTTCATCGTAAATTTAATCAAATTACTGTATTAATTTAAGCGATTTTTTTCCTCTTAAAACTTAGTTCGAAGTAATTTGGGATAATTTTAAATTGTTATTTAAAATAATAGCTTCCGAAAAGGAGGATGAAAGTTATTTTTTCTTATCATACTCTTTTTTTTGTTATCTATATGATTTTTTTTCCAGCTGCATATATTTTTGATGTATGGTTGCTTGTTACAGTTAATTCATGCCAGTAGACCTAGAACATTGAAAACCTAATCTAAATTGCACAATGGCATCAATAATCCTTTTCTTTAATTTCATCAGTTTCTTGTTAACAAATGCATATGCAACGTGCATACGCAGCCCTGTGCTTAAAATCTAAGCTATTAACTCTAGTGCGCAGGTGCAAATGAAATATTTGTGACAAATCTTTTAATGTATTAGATTGTTAATGGCATGTGCAATGCACAATATAAAAAAAGGACATATCTTCGAAACTTCAACCTAATGATTCACTAATGGAAAATTCTTAGAAAAATTGATTAGATATCAATTTATTTAGTTGTTATTTTACCTTATTCAAAAAAAGAAACAGTCAAATATCCATAATTTAGACAGTATTCAACCTGTAAATGTGAGAAAAACCATTTATTAACTGCTTTCACCTAATACGGTAAAGCAAAAAAGTTTTTATCGCTCGTACCAACTAGGCCCACCAAATGAAGCCACCTAGTTTTTGAAACTGAGTACATATTATAGCCGTAAGAGCTAATCTGTATATAGCCGAGAGATGCTACCCAATTTGCGAGCCTGAACGAATGATTTTGACAGTCTCCTTCACGTATAGATAGCAGCGCCAAACTTCTGCTAAACTATCTCCAATTCCCAGTTAAGTATCTATTTTACGGTTTTGAAACCATTCTGATTGCAAATGAATAAAAAACCGTATAGTTTTTATTCACGGTACCTTAACTATAATAGTTGTAAACGGTTTCAAAACAGTAAAGGTAAAAAATGTTCTTTACCGTAAACGTTACGGTTAATTGGATGGAGATACTGCTGCCGGTTATTTTTCTATAATTCTTGAATGAAAATTCTAGCAGTGATGGTATTAATTCATGCACTAAGTAATAACTCGAGAGACTAACTAAAATATGCTAATTAAATAAGATATATATTAAATATATATA